CGGGAAGCAAAATGAAATAAAATGAAAGGGGCTGTGATCCAAGAGTTACCTGTGTGTTGTTCGTAATTTAGTCAGGCGCCATCGATACCGTTCTCGACTGCGTTATGCAGGGGTTATGATGTCCCGAGCAGATCAACTGCGTTTTGTACATTTAACTGCCTACTAATCGCAAGCTTAAAAATTAGCAGTGTACAGAACGTTCTGAGATCACTTGGAAGTTTGTTCCAAGTCTTTAAGTAGTGGACTAGAAAAAAGTTCTCTGATTCTCGAAGCAACTTTTGGAATTGTGACCTTTAACTCTTTAGTGTGTATTGGGTCGCTGTTGTTTAAAGACATGAACGCCGTCATCAAAACTATACATTTGATGGTTTACGATTTTGTGAAGCAAACACAGGTTCAGCATTATTCTCCGAAGTCAGACTGGGTCAAATCCAAGCTTAACACAATGCTTTCTGTATGTCATCCTTGAAAAATCTCGACTTAGCTTGTTCATGAACTTTTTCATGAACATACTGGTCAGAGTTTCGCAAATTCTATTGAACAAATGAGCAGTATTCCATACAAAGCAATATATAAATCTTTTGTAAAGTCAGTTTCGAGATCCCGTGAGATAAAAATTAGATGCATCCGATGGTCTTCATGACCTACGAAACTTGAAGTCAAAATGTTTCGAAAATTTTAAAGTAAACAAATATAGCACGCCCAAGTCGTGAACTGTCCCAACGTTGTGAGATGGATGTACCTTGAAGTAATAGACTGTCCGGCGGTATTTGGCAGTTGTGTGACAAAATAGTATACTTGTCCACAGCAAGTGACATCTGCTACAGTTGGCACCAGGACTGAAGTGCAGCTAGGGTTATCCTGAATGAGACGTACGGCTACCTGGGTATTTGCATGTTCCTGTGAGTACACAACCTTAATGTTATCAGCGAATAGAATATCAGCACCATGTCTTATTCTATGTAATACGTCTTTAACATCTATGAGAAAAAGTAGTGGACCAAGAACACTTCCTTGATTTACTCCACTAGTGACTGATTTCGGCTTAGAGAAATGGTTGCTGATGCGTGCCACCTGTTGTCTGTCAATTACATATGAAGACAGTCAAGAAAACATCGGCTCTCCAATGCCTATACCCTTCAATTTGTTGAGTAACCTTCGATGAGGTACTCTATCAAAGGCATTCTGCACATCTGGGAAGAAGATTACCACATAGCTTTCATTGTCTATGGCAGCCGTTGTGTAGTTTAAGCAGTCCGTCTGGCATATTACGTAGGATGGATCTTGGATACAGCCATCTGCGAAATGCTGATGAGGTTGACTTTGTTCAATAAGATAACCAATTTATCACCATTCTCTCCATTATCCCAGATACGACGGGTGTATGATTGATGGAACAAAATCTTTTAATCTCGTGAGCGGCTCCATTTTTGAGTTGCGTGATAACGACAGAACTCTTCTATTGAGTAAAATATACTTCGTTGTTGAAATATAGGGTAAAGATGTTGAGCAAAAGCAGAGGCAAGCCACTATCACTGCTTTTTGTTAAACAGGGATGGATGCCATCAGGCTCTGGGCAAGTCTAGGAGCGTGAGAGAGTTGAGCAGCGATTTTCGCTATAGTGGATTCCACCCTTGTATGGACTATCACCGTTGTGAGGCGTAATAAATGCTGTTGTCTGATAATTCATTAACCATTGATTCGGCAAAATAAGCATTGAAAGCTTGGCAAGTATCACCTGGTGCATTGAAGTATGTTCCAGCAGACGTGGTGATAAAATTAAAAACGTTGCTGCTACGCGGACCACGGGCACGGAATCGCTTAGATAGTTCACTTGTTTTCTTAGGACCGTTCAGAGCTTTATACCCTTTTAGGATGAGAGTTCAATCATGTTGATGCCTCAGTTCTTCGGTGAACTTGTACTGCTGGAACAATAACGCAAAGGCAGCAGTTAACCTGATATTCCGCCGTATCTTATGAAGCTTGCTTAGTGCCTTAACTATGTTGTGGTTAGATGTATGTCTAGTTTCGCGGGCATGTTTTAGCGGCTCCGCTGAATCGATGACAATGAACAATGAATTTATACGGGTTAAGAAGCATTGCTTTACAAGTCCTGTTGGATAGTTGGTGTGGATATCGAAATAATAATAATAACAATAATAATAATAATAATAATAATAATAGTAGTAGTAAAACCGTTAGTATTTTAAAAATGAAAATAAGGACTTATCGTTTGCTCCGCTCTAGTCTGCAATTCGCTTAGATTCACGGCACCCACAGTTAACATCAAGTAAATCCATGGTAAACTCCAGATGTAGGATAGAGACAATGGAACAGTGGTAAAATACGCATAAAAATCCAAGGCTTGACAAGTCCCGTGGGATGATTTGTTGGAATAACGTTAGTTCGATGAAATTACAAAAAAGTGAAGAACACATCTGTGGACTCACCATATTATCCACATTATTACATAAGCATATCCGTCTACCCCAATTTCGTGGGGTTGGTGAGCATAATGTTTGTTTGCGTCTTGTCGGCGCTCAATGAACAGAAATCAAATCAAGTAATGTAAATGATGTAAAGCATTGTCGAGTCGTTTTTAAAAAAATGGATAGCTTGGGCGCTGAAATGAAAAAAGTCGAAAGAACGTCCGGCGGTTGACAAACTCGAAGGGAACAATAATTCCGGCGACAAACAAGCCGACTGTATTGGGTGGCAAGTTTCAATTTATGACCCTCAATGCTGTGTTGTAGCTAAGCTTCAGGTGGCGGCGGCAAGCGTGACTGAAGATTTTCAAAAGCTGGAACACCAGGATGAGGTCACCCCGTAGACGGCGATATCTTCGGCTGTACATTCCCCAGGGCTCTCAGTCGCCTATGGTATTGCAGGTAGGACAAACCCGCCATATTTTCGTTGCCCGTCGCTGTGCGCTCTGCAGTGCAACCAGGTCGCGTTCTAACCAGGGTGGCCAAGCTTGGAACCAGTACTCTACATGGGGCCTCACATACGCATTAAGCATTTGGGGAAAGATAAAGGGATCAAACCCCTCGAAAACCCTCCGTAACAGACCAACTTGTTGGTTCGCTGTTTTGGAGGCCTTCGAGGACTGCGGCGAAAAGCTGAGGTTGTCTTGAATTACCACCCCTAGGTCTCACACTTGTGAGGCTGATTTCAGCATGTCGTCTCTAAGCTCATACGTATGCGTGGGTTTGTGGTAGACAAGCACAGTTTCGCCCTTGTCCGAATTAAACGGAAGTAGATTTACCTTTAACTATTCGAAAGCGCAGTTTAAGTCTCGTTGTAAAATTTCGTGATCTTCCTGACAGTCGGCTTGCCCGCCATATCTTGCTGCCCTCGATAAAAGCAGGAAATATGACTTGCTGATACTTGCAAAGTCCTTAGTTAAGAACAAAAGTAACCGCAGCCTCAACACCGACCCTTGTGGAACACCGCAGTCTACACCAATTGGATCAAAAATAAATCTCGAACGTGAACCTGAAAGCGACGCTGAAAGAGAATGTTTCCGATCCATCCAAGAACAGGGTTTCCAACTCCGTATGCTTGCAGCTTTTGAAGAATGCGGTGATCTAAGCAGCGAAGGCTTTGGACTAGTCTAGGTAGATGACATCAATGCCGGTCCCACAGTCGGCTATCTCGGTCCAACTGCCACCGGGAAGCAGTAGGTTGGTAGTACGTGACCGATGCTAACGCAATCCGTGTTGCTCCTGCACTATGATGTTAGAACCTTCGAAGTAGCTCAGTACAGCCTCAGCTATGATCGATCCCATCACATTTGAGAGCACCGGGAGAAGAATCACTGGGCGATAGTTGGCGGGCTCTGAATGGCTACCACTTTCAAAAATCGGGGTAATGATGCCTTGTTTCCCCATGCTAGGGACCTGCTGTTCTTCCAGACGTATTTGGAAAAACCTCGCTAATGGTTCAGCTATCCTTCTAGCTGCCAACTGCAGCACTTTCGGGGGAAGATTGTGAACTCCGTTGGAACTATGGGTGCGCAACGACAGCTGTTTCCTCAAAATCTTTGCTGAACTAAACGTGACGCGTGTACTTAGTATCATCTTGGAGAATGGGAGATGTATGTTACAAACGCTAATAGTACGTCGGAAACTTGGTGCACATTGTAGCCTTAGAACGTTGATTGTATTCTTGGCGGTTTGGGCACATCCATTTGTTGCTGTTAGTGGGGGAAAACACTACGTTTCACATTCCGAAGGCTGCTTACATGTGCGTACAGAAGCTTTTTGTTAACACAAAACTTTTCCGTTAGACTCCGCTGGTGTACTAATTTGTCCTCTCGCACAAGTGTGGTACAGTGATTATGATGCACAACATA